CTATGGAACCCTGAAAAACGTGACGAAATGGGATGATGGCTTCTCTCACCCAAACACTTCACTGAGCAATACTTTCTTTTGGTTATAAAACACGAATTTTTGATGAATATTCACTTTAGCGTTTAATTAAAAGTTAATAATGATTAAATGCAAAAGTTTATGCCGTAATATTTGTTGAAATTTACAAGCTGCGTAGTTTTAGACGAGTTTTCAAATGTAAATCAAGTCTTTATTGTTATTAAAGATCCATTATACGCTCGACGGACTTTGAAATAAATTGGCTACGTTACATAAAAATAAACTCAACCAAGGGTACTAAAGTTAGCTTAGAATATTTGATGAAGCAGCAAAAATTGAAATTTAAATCTTCTTAGACTAATTATGACTTTTTGTGAGAAACTTAAAATAGTTTTTTTTTAATAACGTCCTCCAGTCAGTTTTGGTCAATGCGGGCAGTCTCAATGTAGACTAGTCATTTGCGCAGACCACACGAGTGTATGCGCAAACACAGGTGCACTCTTTATTCCCTCACTCTCAGAGTCCGATCAGGACGATCAGGCACAGGCTTTCCGAAGCACGAGAGTGAAACACCGCCAACTCTCTGATTTCGGACTGTTACTGATAATTTATTGACAGAAAAACCCAATAATTGATTTTCCCGGACCCGGGATTCGAATCCGGGATCTCATGATTAGCAGTCACGGTTTCAATCACTAACCAACGAGGCAATTAATAAATTTTTTTTATAATCTATGTGTAAGTGAAATACTACTGCTCACTCATCACGAGATATCCAAAACCATATGCCCGATTGACTAATATGAAATATGGCAAATATACTCCTTTCGTAGACACCCATTAAGTATTTAGAAATATTAATTACCTGAGGGTGTGAAATAAAACACATGTTGTTGCGATATAGAGACTCCATCTCCCCCTTTTGCCCCTTGGGTGTTATCAAAGATGACTACAGGTTAATGGGACAGAAAAATACATAAGAAAAAAAAGAAAATACATTTAGTTACCCAAAATATACGTACATACAAGAGTTTTAACATTAACAAAAAATCTTAAAACCTCTTTATCTAACAATGTCTAAAATACTATCTATATATTTAAGTTATCTATAGATAATTCTATAAATAAAAACAATTTACTTTAATCAATAAACAAGTAAATAAGAATATTACTAATGGATCACGGAAAAAAAGTCTCCTCGAATTTGGTAAGAATACGCGTCATTCCCTGCATACGAGGTTAGCAACTCAGCATTATAAACTGATTTTCAGTACCATCCCCGTGACATCTCCAATGTCTTTTGGATATTAAAAGAGAAAGTATTTAATGAAAATTACACCATAAAAATAATATTAATACGTTCTAACAATATTCTAAAAATAATAAGAAATCTTATAGTTTTCTTCTATACAACATGTAACACAAACCCTGCAGTTCCCGTTTATACGGGTAGTTTTTACGTTGTAGAGCCATGCTACAGCTATATTAGTAGTATAAGTAGTTGCAGCACGAAAGGGTCGGCTCGACCGGAGAAGGACCACGCTCTCACAGAATACCAGCGTAAAAATAACAGCTTAACACCGCTGTGTTTCGTATGGTGAGTGTCTACAACCTGTTTTCTAGAACCGGCGACCTTTTTTACTGCAAAAGAGGCATTCCATCTTAGTCCTCACGGGTGACAACGCATCTGTATTTTGATTCTTTATTGAGGATAGATGTGGATGTCTACGGGTTACAGCAAAGCAACCACTTACCATCAGGTGGACTGTGTGCTGTTTGTCACCCTATCCACCTATCCTATAAAATAATATCGGATGATATCTTATCGGAAATAACTTAACTTCAGAAAACTCGACCATGAAAAAATTAAATTGTATTCATATAAATTTTTATTTCCCGTTTTATTAGCCGTGGACTGTTAATTTAAACTTTTAAATTTTTATTTGTAATTTGTATAATATTTTTAGGGTTTCGTACCTCAAAAGGAAAAAACGGAATCCTTATAGGATCACTTTGTTGTCCGTCCGTCTGTCTGTCTGTCTGTATATCAAGACCCTTTTTCTCAGGAACGCGTGGAGGTATCAAGCTCAAATTCGTATCAAATACTCAGGTCTACTGTCCCTTGGAGCTGTGAAAATATCAAACTTCTAGGCCAACGCAATCAAAAGATACAGCCGTTTATGCCGCAAATTTTCGACATTCGCAAAAGAATCAAAACCTACAGGGTACTTCCCGTGAACTCAGAATCTTGAAATTTGGTACGAAGCAACGTTTTATAACACAGATAAAGGAAAAATTGCGAAAAGCATAAATTTTTAGTTACATCATATAATAAAAATATTTTTAATAATTTTAAACTTAAATACCTACGGATTAGTTAGGAACCCTCAGTGCGCGAGTTCGACTCGCACTTGGCCGGTTTTTTATTACTTTTAACTGACACGCGCATCGGTAAAGCGTCCTCGACAATATTTTTACTCCCGGCCAGGCCGGCCCGATACAATAGTTTTCTATCACAAAGCAGCATATATATATATATGCTGCTTTGTGAAACGAGACATATCTCAGTTTTTTTGTTATTTATTATATAGTTAAATTATATATTTTTTATATTCGATATCAATGGCTAACTCCAAAATATTGCATTATGTTTTTGTTCAGGCGTTACTCTAAAAAAATACAAAAGCCTATTTATCTACAAAATTCGTAAATGCATGTAACTAAATGACGATACAATAGTTATAGGATGTATCTAAGTGACTTTTATCCGAACGTTAAATGTTAATAGCGTTTATTGGTTTCGGTGCGAGAAGTTATCGAATCCGAGTCGATTTCGCTTTCCGAGACGATTGTGAATAGCCCTGCTGGCCGGTTATTGCAAAATAACCCTGTATATGTACAAACGATGTAATCCCCCACTAGATGGAGTGACGACCTGGTAAGATATGCAGGAAGTCGATGGATGCAGGTGGCTCAGGACCGTGCATTGTGGCATTCTTTGGGGGAGGCCTATGTTCAGCAGTGGACTTGTGAAGGGCTGTAATGATAATGATGATGTACAAATAGACTACCAGTCAAATATCCAAACCTGGAACAATTATTTATTTGTTATTTGCTGGATTCAAACCCGCGGCCCTACAGCGCCACAACGAAAGCTCAGTCACTGCGCAACCGAGCTATAAGTAATACTTGCTAGCCTGTGTAAGCGACAGTAGTCTAATGGTAGGGTGCGGACCGAGAACTCAAAAAGTCGTGGCTTTGAATCCGCCATTCAGCTACTGTTGTGAACTACTTCTAACATAATCATTTGAAACCGGAGTGATACCAGGGGTACTACTAGCTCGGTGCCGCGAGGAAACAAAAACGTATTCAAGTTCAATTTCCAACGTTAACTTATATTTTCCTGTAGTAAATCCCATGTCGAATTCCAGGGTTTGGGTTATCTCTATGCAAATTTTTATCTAAATCCGTTAAGCCATTTTGTGCCTGATTGATGAATAAACATCTAAAAGTAAGAAAATTTTCGAGAGTTAGAAGACCGTTTTTGTGGCTCTGGTGAAAATCGTTTGTCGGTGGGGTTCCCTCCGTAACTGCATCATGTTTTTTAATTATGATGATACTATTTGTTTACCTAACATAATATGATATTTATAGAAACAGAAATAGAAACTTTTTTATTCAATATAGATTATAAATAATACTTAATTAAAGTCACTCTTTAATAATTCCCACTGATTCGAAATAAACCTCTGTCCTGGGAAGAACCAGCAAGACACCCAGCGGGACTTTTTTTTAAATAACAGCTTACAGTCATGTAATCACGTTTAACCACATAAAACAAATTAGATATAGCTTGGTAGCGATCACCTCATTCCCAGGGGTTATTATCATTATAATAACCTTTTTATACACACTTTGTTTAATAAAGTTTTTGAACTTTGAGCAGGTCAAATTTTGTATATTTTCTGGGATTTTGTTGTAAAAGCGTATACTTCGCCCCAAGAATGAATTACTGACTCGGTGGAGTCGAGTAACTGGTACTACTAGCTTGTGTCTGTTCCTAGTATTTACAGAATGAATATCACTTATTTTTCTATATCTACCTTTATTTTTGTGTACGTTAATTACATTTTCATAAATGTATTGAGAGGCCAAAGTTAATATATTTATTTACTTGAATTTTTGTCGGAGCGACTCTTTAGGTTTTAAATCATAGATTGCTCTTATGGCCCTCTTCTGTAAAACAAATATGATTTCAGTGTCAGTCGCGTGTCCCTCTAGCAAAATACCATGTTATATGCTATAGAAATAGCTAAACTAAACAAGTCTGGCTGTTTCCACACTGATAAGATTTCTAATCTTTTTTACAGCATATGATAGATATGTAGCATATGATCGCTAGTGATATATTTACACAACATAACTAAACTAATCCTCAATCAACAAAACAAAAATAACACGATTCTCAACAGAGTAACAGGATCGCAATGCTAATGTCCTAGCCCAATATGATAGATAAAATCTAGGCTTTGAATCGGCCAGCCGGAGAAGATGGGAGAGAATCGTGCTGTCAAGATAGCTAATTAGGGGCGACTGAACCGCTCTATCTGATGACAAAGTGCGCACATAAATAGTGTTAAATTGTTGAAAACGACGTTCGTGGTTTACAAAACCTAGAATTAGTCTTCTCGCCTGCTCGCAGTCAACTTTGAAGTTACGGAGAATTGACCGCAAATTAGGCCGCAGAGTCCATCTAGTAGTTATACATAAACTTCTCTAAATAAAGCAAACAAAAATTTTCTTTCAATCATTTAATGGAACTTAACACTATCGACAAATTTCTATTTATATTCCTTTATCTATTGTTAACTGTCCATGCATTTTCATGTATTAGGTACATTCAAAGTGCAAATCCGTTACGAGGTACACGGCTGCAAAACTAAGTTCCCGCTGGATCAACTTTACACTTCGCTGGGCTCTTATCAGCTGTCCTTTTTCCGTTTGAACAGCGCACTGAATTTGCCGGCCTCGTACGTCGGCATGAAAGGGAGATAAGTCGTCCATTTCCATCTGGAAGCGTATTGGTAAAAGATAAAAATAATGCTGATAACAAATATTTTCCGATTCTTTTACGTTCAATATAAAAGAATCGGAAAATATTCCTCTGAATCTGTAGAACATTAGGGAAGACATTCAGTGCGTAAAAAGTGAACTGAATGTTTTCCTTTAATGTTTATATTTCGTTTGGCGAGTGTAGAGAACTGGAGATCCATTTTACTGGAAGCGAGGCATTCCATCTTAGTCCTCACGGGTGACAATGCATCTACATTTTGATTCTTAATTGCGGATAGATGTTAACGGGACTCAGCACCCACTTACCATTAGGTAGATTATGTGCTGTCACCTTTATTCTATACATCAAATTTTTTTAATACAAAAGTAGTCTAAGTTACTCCTTATAACATCAGCTATCTGCCAGTGAGAGTCCCGTCAAAATCTCTTCAACCGTGTCGGAGATTAGTTGAGACAAACAGACAGACAAAAACTTAGTTTCATATATATTTATTATTTATTTATTTAACAGTTTATGTACACACATACTTCGATATGAAAATGATAAAAATATAATTATGTACAAATAGGCACTGCTTATTCCATGATGAAATTTCTTTCAGCAGGCCTACAGTTAAAAACTGTTTGTTAATTTGACGTTACAAAGAGACACTTCAATTTTATTTGTTTGTATAGATCTAATCATGGTTACTATTGGAACTACATAAACACAATAATATAAGAAAATAATTTACCTGCGTATGTAGGACATGCCGACGGGGAAGTCGTAGGTGTCGCCATGCTCGCTGACTCCAGCCGCTTCCAGCGACATCTCCTGCGCCCATGCCTCCAGTCCACGCTCCTCATCCGTCCCTACACAAAACAACACAATGACTCGCAAATCACAAAATTAATCATCATTACAGGCATTTATAAGTCCACTGCTGAACATAGGCCTCCTCTAAGGAATGCTACAAAGCACGGTTCTGAGCCACCGGCCTTTAGCTCGTTAAGTGACCTAGAGCTCCATCATACGGCCAGTAGTGAAGGACCATGTCTCATTATCACTTCAACTCATCACTGAAGTGTACCTGACGAGACGATGTGTCGTACTCTCCCGAACCGAGTTGAATCCGTCGATTGACCTCTCGGTCGAAGTTGGACTTGCCTAGTCAGACTATATGTCCTAGGTAAACATACTCGTCGACAATTTCGAGCGTAGTACTCCAAACAATTACCGACAGAGGTGTGATATGGACGTTACACATGATCTTCGTTTTGTCCATGTTCATCTTAAGACCTATCCGTTGGGAGACACTATTGAGGTCATTGAGCATAGTGCTTAGGTCCTCCAGCGATTCCGCTAAAAGGACTATATCGTCGACAAATAGAAAGTAAGTGATGTACCCGCTATTGATGTTAATACCGTATCCTTTCCAGACCAGTAACTTGAAAACGTCTTCCAATATAACGGGAGCTTCCAATGAAAATTTCGGGGATATAATATCACCCTGTCTTACACCTCATTGCAGTTTGATAGGTTTCGTATTCTGGTTCTGTACTTGGATAGCTATCGTAGCCCTACTGTGTAAACTCTTCAGCACTTCGATATAACGACAGTTAACTTGGCACCACTTAAGGGACTGTCCAAATTTCGACGGACTTCAAAATTTTCTCATAGTCCGCATATGCAAGGCAAATGTACTCTTCGATCTTTTGTACAATTTGCCGAAGATTATGTAGGTCGTCTATAAAGGTAAAGCTTTTTTGGCAACCGACTTGTTCAGGAAGCTGGAATACGTCGAGTCTGCGTGCGAGACGAATGACTCTCGGAAGAACAAGACTTTCTTGAAGAACAAGATCACCGCACTTCTCCTAAACGCATCCATAGTAGTGCCACCAAGCTCTTGCTTATGAAGGACTTCAAGCACTGGTATTCCACTCGTTTTCAGAAGCCCCGCTGTAATTCACAATCCTTGCGCGGGCTGGAGAGCCAATCTAATCTCGCTCAGACTGACGTCCGGGATATCATGGCAATAGTGTCGGACAAGACTTGATTTTCTCTATCATTACTAATACTAGCGTGTGGCTCCAAGGATATGTGTACTGCTGGCTGTAGAACCTCTCAATCTCACTTAAAATCTCAGGTATCCTAGAAACAATGCTACCGCATTCGATCTTCAGCTTTGACAGATGGCTGTTTCTGGTAGACAGATCTCTGACAAAGACTTTGGAGCCTTGATTTCGCTCGATCGCTTTATCAATAGGAGCTGAATTGAAGTTGCGTAAGTCGCGCAGCATGCCTTTGGAGATCTGCCTTTTTATTGTGTTCAGTATACTGTCATATCTGCTTAAGACTGCAGTTTTATTATCCGCCTAACAGCCATGAGATTGAGTGTGATTGCAAAGTTTTTAGATTCTTCTGTTACGGATCTTGCAGAACTTAGCTACGACCACATGAACAGTTTCCATGAGCTAGTCATTCATATCGTCCACTGCATTACATACTTCTAGGCACTGAAAACGATTTTGTTACTCGAGCTGAAAGTTTTCGGGGCTTTAGATTAGAGCACGATGGGGACGGACCGTTGACTTCATTGTACGTGACCTCTCGAATTTAACGTTTAGGTTCAGTGTGCCTATCCCAGCGCAACTTGTCTATCTCTTCTTCCATCTCCAGGATCCTCTCGTCAGTCCTCATAGTGCGTGCGTTATACGTTGCCGTATCGAGTCATCTTAGGTCACAACCGACAAACCTCCACCGGAGATTCTTAGCACCCCCTGCCCCACCGTTACCGTGGTCGCCACCTTAGCCAGAAAAAGCGGAGCCATCGGGGACTGGGGGCCGTTATTTGTAACTCTTGCCATGGGGGATATATTGACATAGTTGGCATGCTTGACGGGCGGGTTGGCAACCGCAGTACTTTTTTATTATTTTGCTGTTATCGGAAAGTTGCTGCTGTTTATCTCCTGCCTCAGTTCCCTCTGTCACGTTTTAAGACACCCACGAGAAGATATTTTTACATCGCTACTGCACGGCCCGCGGTTCTTGATTGGGTGGTTGTGCATGGCCGTATTTAGTTGGTGGTGCGATTTGCCTGATTAATTCTGGCAACGAACGAGACTCTAGCCCGCTAAATAGATGTCGTCACTTAGGTGTGCGTGCCTTCGGTCGCGCAACGCACTGGCGACGTATTAAAATTCTTCCTAGACTGCCTGGCGGCTTCAAGCCGCACGAGATTGAGGAATTAGTAATTGCTCAATCTCGTGCGGCTATCTGTAATGCCTAAGATGTCGTGTGCCGCACGCGCACTACATCCCCCATAAACTTAGCCATGGTTACCTATAATTAAAAAAAGCTTGTTTGCATTTTCCGTTGTAAGATTAAGTATTTTTATTACAATTTGTAAAGCTAATATGTCTTTTTGGTGTTTAAATAAATAAATAAAAATTACCAGGTATGAGGTTATCGAGCAGGCAACCGATCACCCCTCCTACGAGGATGGAGGTGGACAGCAGCACCTGCAGCACGGCGTCCAGCGCCTCCAGCCCGGTGCTGATGCGGCCGCTGTGCGCTGACATCCAGCGCGTCAGCACCAGTGGGAAGAACAGACTGAACCCGATGATGTACAGGTTACGAGAGCTGTTGAGGTTCACATATTGCAGCGCAGACAGACCTGTATGAATTTAACATTGGTTTTATAAAGGTTTCTTTTTAAACCATAAGCCAGTGCTCGACCACCATCCCAACCTTGAATACATTGTCTAGGCTTTGCAGGCAATATAACAAGATTTCCAAAAAATTAACATTTAATATAAATAAAAAACTAACTTTAAAGAACTAAAAAGAAAAAAATAATTCAATAATAGCTCCTAAGGCCGGCGCAAATTACCATAGTTTTTATGAAGGTTTCTTTTAAACTAGTGCTTCACTACTATTCTAACCTTACAGTGAAAAAATTCAAAAAACAAAAAACAGACTTTAAACAACTAAAAAGAATAAAATAATTATTTAAAAGTTTCTAAAGTGGGTGCTAATGTTAAGACTTGGCCGATATTCAATGTCGAATTCGAGCGGAAACTCCACCATTTGACATTGTAAATGACATGATTGACAGTTTGAGTTGAAATTCGAGTCTCTTAAAACCGGCCTTCGTGTATAGAAAAATAAAAGCCCAACTGGACATGCCATTCTGTGAAAAACATTTTATTTTTACGAACACCATGAAGAACTATGAATAAAAAAAATTTTAAGGTCGATTCGAAATTTACGAATAAACATATAAAAAACTATAAAAGAGGAGTATTGAAAATTTTCTCCTTTTTTTTAAAGTCGGCTAAAAATAACGAACTGGATATTTTGTTTTGAAAATGGAATACAATGGAACGAACTGATCATCTAATGCAATTACTACACCTGCAACCAATTTCAAATAAAAAAAAAATCGGTTGTCTGTAAAGTCGATTTACTGACGATAGTTGAACGTGACAACGCCGATTGTGGCTCTTTGTTGCTCGTTCCGCGCTCTCTCTTGCACTTCAAGCCTTAAATGGAACGCCTCAGAGCGAGGTAACGCCGTATGAGTCATGTTTTTTCGAGCGTGCAGCCAGCTTCATCATATTATAAGACGTTGTCACGTCAAAAGGTTACACTTTTGACGTGACAACGTCTTCTCCTCTCGTCTCTCGTCGTCTCAAAACAACATACAACTCACCTCCGAGGACTGGAATGGCTCATGGCCTGAAATTATACGGGTTCTCTAAATCATTCAGACTTGGACACCGTAGAACAGACATTGCCGCTCGAATGCTGAAATAGGTTAGACTGTGATATCTATCCAGACGAACTTCTAGGCAGTTAAAAGTCCTACCACCTAGAAATATTACTACAACGCACACTTTTGTCGATGAGTATAATCGGGTAGTTGTTGGGAGGACTTCGCTTGAAGTTGTCTATGATTCTGTTTACCTAGGACAAATTGTCCGACTAGGCAAATCCAACTTCTAGCGAGATGTCAATCGACGTATTCAACTCAGCTGCGCAGCGTACGGGAGATGTTTGTTACGAAGATGTTTTTTATAGAAGAGGGAGCAAACGAGCATACGGCTGTCCACCGCCGCCCATGAACAACTGCAAAACCCCAGGGGAATTACATGTGCGTTACCGGCATTTTAAAATCTATCATCCCGATAAGATCTATCGTCACAAGATGATAGAACCAGTGCGTGTTGCTAGTGATTATAAATGGGTCTGAGACGTGATCCTTCGCTGATTGCCATATGAGGAAGCTCAAGGTCATTTTGCGAGCTATGGAGACGGCTGAGCTAGGAGTTGCTCTGCGCGATAGACTTAGAAATGAGGATATTCACAATAGAACTAGAGTAACCGACACAGCTCTACGGATCAGTTTACTTAGGCTTTCAGCTCATAATATAGTCTGTAAAACCGAAGTAGAGTTTACTTTGTTTATAGTGTATTTAAATTTTTTGTTTTCTATTCTCATTCTTGTTTCGGTCTTTTTAAAAATTACTTAAGTCTTAAGTGCATTACTTTTAAATTGTCTTTTTGCAGTCGTGTGTTTTTAATTTCTGTTATTATTTATTTTATTGTATATATGCTATATACCGCGGTATCTTCGTCAATAGTGAACAGATTTTGGTGAATATTTTTTTTATTAAATGGGTTACTTCGGGAGTTCTCTTAAAGAATTTCAGAAATTTCATCCCTAAGTGTAATATAGGGGATGAAGTTTTTAATGGAACTATTCAGACGACTTAGATTGTGGTATTCCTCAGTCCACACAAATGGTAAAAAAAATTACTTTTTATAAGAAATAAAATCCAATTTGAAATAATCAAAAAATAATTTCAGATTCTGAAGTCGGCGCTTTGATCCTTCTATACAATACGTCTCAGCATCAGCTTTTACTTTTTATTAAAAGTTACTTTTGTATGGTATGTTTCTTGTTTTTACTTTCCGCACTGATGATTGTGTTAAAACTTTTTTATCTATAACTTTTGTTTCATATAATTGAAATAATATTATTTCTGTTAATTAGCTTTAGATAATGAGTTTTGTTGTCTCCTACAATTGAAGGAGCAAGCTAGTTTTAATTACCTTATACTTCGTTGGAGATCTTTAATTAATAAATAAAAATCTTTATGTTTATTTTTTTATTAATTGGTTTAAACATCGTTGCACAAAAAACTACAAAGGCAAACTAAATTCCGTTGTCCACCAGTTAACTTATAAGTAAGCAAAGAACACTACTTTGAAGTTGCAATAAGATTGATAACGATTGTGTTCGCGATGGCCTAACAATTTTAAGAAACAAAGTGATGAAAGAATATTGTTTTGTATAAAAAGTGAAATTACAACGAAATCGAGTAAATAGTTTGTTAATATAGTTTTACAGTGTGTTTACAACTCTTAATATATTTATATAGAATGTCGTTTTGATAATAGTTAATATAAAAAACTTTAATCGTTTAAGAAAAAATCGACCAATCACAGCGCGTCGTATCGTAGAACTTTCTGGAAATTTAATTAAGTGCGCAATAGTTTATACCAAAAATAATGAGAATATTTTTGTGTTCTAAAAGAGTTGTAAATATAACATTTAGTTAGCATATGGTATATAGATTAAAATAGTGGAAAAATAATTTGTATAATTAAACGCATTTGATAATTATAGAAAAATTAAAGAATTAATGTACCCATTTATTATGAAAATTTGGAACATTTCGTGTAATAACTTTTTACAATGTTAATGTATTGAATAACCTTTATCATATACCAATAAAAGACCAAAATGCCGATTTAATGATGTATAGCATGTTAGTGTAAAAATTAGTGTTGTATAGAAAATATTGCAATTTGTGCCAATTACATAGTGAAAATGTTTTAAAATAAAGAGGCAAAATGGGAAATGGCAAGCGGCTCACTATACAGTATAGCCGAAGTCTACCTTATGGGCGCGAAACCCAGCAACGTTGTAGTAGGAAGAACTACCAGTGACAAGCAGTAGTATCCGGTAGTAGCTGAAGTGACTAGTACCAGAACATAGTGAACAGTAATATTGAATTAGAAAAAGTGTTAGCTAGCCGAAAAAGGTCGTAACTGAAATTAGCAGTTACACATAGCCGAAAAAAGTCGCAACTGAAAATTCGCAGTTGCATATAGTGAAAAAGTGTTAGCTAGCCGAAAAAAGTGGTAACTGAAAATTCGCAGTTACATAAAGTGAAAAAGTGTTAGCTAGCCGAAAAAAGTGATAACTGAAAATTCGCAGTTACATGTAGTGAAAAGTGTTATCTAGACGAAAAAAGTGGTAACTGATATTCGCAGTTACATATAGTGAAAGTGATAGCTAATTGCAGAAAGTGGTAACTGATATTCGCAGTTACACAAGTAATAAAATCAACTAGTTTTAGTTGATTAATAGCTGCTAGTCAGTAGTGTTAGAAAACCAGCTACTACCAATAGATATTTTAATACTACCGCACATTTTAATTAAATCTTTTGAAATATATAGTGACCAACCAATAGTGAACAACCGTAGTTGCACAACCGTATTCAACAACCGTGGTCAATAAATAATAATTATAAAATTTCGCGACTAATCAATCAGTCGAACAGCTGGCCACTCCCTTGCTATTTGAATTTATAAATCGTGCATTTTAATTTTGAACCTCAGTCCACAGTTTCCAGCAGCACACACAGAGACGGCAGTGAAAGTATCCTCCGGAACCTATAGGTGTAGGACGTGAGCGACTCGCGGAGTATCTTCGACAACATTTACTCCGGAGAGTTACGCCCGTCCGGCACAGATTGAACAAGCTAATTGTAATTAATCCCTCTACAAGACGCAAAATTATATACACAGTGAATGCTGTGGCCAATAGACATCTACATTTATCCTCAATTAAGAATTTAAAACGCAGATGCGTTCTCCCTGAGAAATAAGATGGAATGCCTCTATTCCACTAAAAAGGGTATCCGCTTATCTACACTCACCATACGAAACACTGCAGCAATAAGTTGCTATTTTACTCTGGTATTCTGTAAGTGCGTGGTCCTACCCCGAATGAGCCGATACATTCGTGCTACAACCATAACCAGTGTTATGAAAATAATCTTTTGTATTGACCGAAAGCAGAGATCATGCCGAACATGACACAGAAGAGGCCACCGACGATAGGCTGAGGGATGATGATGAAGACGGCGCCCAGCTTTCCCACAACGCCCTGCAGCACCATCAGCGCCGCCGCCCACTGCACCACGCGCCGCGACCCCACCTGCACCACACCACAACTATGCCTTATCAATCAATAATTACAGCCAATCAAAAAAGTCCACAGTTGAACATAGGCCTCCCCATCAATTGCCTTATGGGTTTACCAGATGAAAAATCTAAAAGTCCTGACAAATAACCTGATTTCCATATAAAAGTCCCGACATTTCGTTGCATACATAATTAACTACTGTAGAAAAAATAAATTATTGGTTTTGTATCACGCGATCAATTCACGTCTCAGATTCCATTTTTTTTTTCTTTTATATAATAAGGGTGACAAACGAGCACACAGTCCACTTTCAGGTGGTAAGCATGGCTCTACCATGCTGCAGCTATCCATCCCTCCCACGTAAAATATCTACTGAATTTTTTTAAAGTATTGAAAAAGCCTGACATTTCTAAAATCCGACCGCAATCCTGACAAGAGCCCAAAAGTTTTGACATCCTGACATAATATAGTATCTCAACTCATAGGGGAGATATAATATGTCATAGTTAGTAGTTCCCACGCTGGGTAGGCGGGTTAGTAACCGCAGTTTTTTAGTCGTTGTTAGGAAGACACTGCCCATCTCCTGGTTTTTTTCCCCTGTCGCCCCTTATGACACCCGCGAAACGATATGGGGTAGTGGATATTCTTACATCGCCACTGCACGGTCTACACTGCACATCACAACACACTAGATCCACACAATTTTACTTCTTCTATCTGGCAAATAAGTCGGTTTCGATCATCGCGACATCAATGAAATCGTAAGTTCCAATTTTAAGTGTTAATTTACCACCTGCTGGAAGTTTGAAGAAAACACTGAGCAAATCCGCACACGTCTGAAGAAGAAAATTATTTTCATAGTCATTATGTTCGCCTAAACACAAGAAAAGCTCCATAGATGCTTCCTTGCCCTACTCGTAAAACCGTAAACCATAAAGTCATATATAGGCCATTACGTTCCTTTATGTTTCTCTATAAAACACACACTAGTTAACTGAGTGCCTTACTACACTGGTTCTTGGTTCGAATCCTAGTCAGAAGTATTATTTTTATTCATACAATACTTAAGAGAAGCTCACAAATCATTTAATTACACATAACACCGTGTGGTGCCCTTTAGCCCCTTCGCTTGAACGTGACATTCTCTTTTTTTTAAATAAAAAATATTTATTCAGTAGCAATGGGTTTACAATACAAATATCGAGTCTAGAGATCTCCTTTCAAGTATTAAAATAATTGTACGAGGAGACCTCGCTCTTCCTTATTTATATTTTTACCACAACATAACACTACATTTTTTTATAACAAATGAAAATCAGGAGATAATAAGGCGTGTGTGTGTGCGTGTAAGTTAGCGTGCGTGTGTGATTGCGTGCGTGCGTGTGAATGCACCCTTATCATCATTATCATCATCATCATCATTACAGCCCTTCACAAGTCCACTGCTGAACATAGGCCTCCCCCAAAGAATGCCACAAAGCACGGTCCTGAGCCACCTGCATCCATTGACTTCCTGCATATCTTACCAGGTCGTCACTCCATCTAGTGGGGGGACGCCCTACACTTCGCCTGCCGGTACGAGGCTGCCACTCGAGAACCTTTCTTCCCCATCGGTTGTCGGTTCTTCGAGCTATATGGCCGGCCCATTGCCACTTCAGCTTACTAATCCGTTGGGCTATGTCGGTCACTCTAGTTCTACTGCGGATATCCTCATTTCTGAGTTTATCACGCAGAGAAACTCCGAGCATAGCCCTCTCCATAGCTCGCTGAGCGACCTTGAGCTTCCTCATCCGGCCAGCAGTGAAGGACCACGTCTCAGTTCCGTATGTCATCACTGGCAACACGCACTGGGTGTACAGTCTCGTTTTCAAGTTTTGAGGTATACCTGACGAGAAGATGTGCCGTAATTTCCCGAACGCTGCCCAATCGAGTTGAATCCGTCGATTGACCTCTCGGTCGAAGTTGGACTTACCTAGTCGGACTATTTGTCCCAGGTAAACATACTCGTCAACAACTTCGAGCTTAGTGTTCCCAACAACTACCGGCATAGGTGTGACATGGACATTAAACATGATCTTTGTTTTGTCCATGTTCATCTTAAGACCTATCCGTTGGGAAACACTATTGAGGTCATTGAGCATAGTGCTTAGGTCCTCCAGCGATTCTGCCATAAGGACTATATCGTCGGCAAATCGAAGGTGAGTGATGTACTCGCCATTGATGTTGATACCGTATCCTTTCCAGTCCAGAAGCTTGAAAACATCTTCCAATGCAGCGGTAAAGAGTTTCGGGGATATGACGTCACCCTGTCTTACACCTCTCTGCAATTGGATAGGTTTCGTACTCTGGTTCTGTACTCGGATAGCCATCGTAGCCCTACTGTACAAGCACTTCAACACTTCGATATACCGACAGTCAACTTGGCATCGCTGAAGGGACTGCAGCACCGCCCAAATTTCGACGGAATCAAAGGCTTTCTCATAGTCCACATACGCCAGACATAGTGGCAAATTGTACTCCTCGGACTTCTGTACAATTTGCCGAAGGGTATGTATGTGGTCTATGGTGCTAAAGCCTTTTCGGAAACCGGCTTGTTCGGGAGGCTGGAAGTCGTCAAATCTGCGCGCGAGACGATTCGTAATGACTCTCGAAAACAGCACGTAGACGCAGCTCAGAAGGGAAATCGGTCTGTAGTTCTTCAAGAGAGCGTTGTCACCTTTCTTGAAGAACAAGACCACCGCACTTCTGCTCCACGCCTCCGGTGTAATGCCACCATGGAGGACGGAATTAAAGAGCTTCTGAAGGACTTCAAGTACCGGTTTTCCACCCGCTATCAGAAGCTCTGCTGTAATTCCATCCTCGCCTGGGGCCTTGCCGTTTTTAAGGTGCTGGAGAGCCATTCTAATCTCGCTCAGACTGACGTCCGGGATATCATCGGAATAATGTCGGATAAGACTCGCTCTTGGATCGTTACTCACACTTGCGTGCGGCTCCAACGATGACGTGTACAGCTGCCCATAGAACCTCTCAATCTCACTCAAAATCTCAGGTGCCCCGGAAACGATGCTGCCACACTCTGTCTTCAGCTTTGACAGTTGGCGCTTTCTGGCAGACAGATCTCTGGCAAAGACTTTGGAGCCTTGGTTCCGCTCGATCGCTTCTTCAATACGAGCTGTATTGAATTTGCGTAAGTCCCGCCGCATGCATTTGGAGATCTGTCTGTTCAGTTGCCTGTATGCTGTTAAATCTGTTGAAGAATGTAGCTTCATCTCCCGTCTAACAACCATGAGATTAAGAGTGTGATCGGAGAGTTTTTGTGTTCTTCTGCGGCGGGTCTTGCAGAACTTAGCTCCGACCGCATGGACAGTTTCCACGAGCTTGTCATTCAAATCGTCCACTTCATTGCAGTCTTCTAGGCACTGAAAACGGTTTTGTAACTCGAGCTGAAAGGTTTCGGGACTTTGGATTAGAGCACGAGGGGGACGGAGCGTTGACTTCATTAGACGAGACCTCTCCAACTTAACGTTTAGGTTCAGTGTGCCTCTAACCATTCGGTGATCGCTGCCGGTTTTCACCCTCGCGATCACTGAGACATCACTGAACAGTTGTCGTCTGGTCGTCATAATGAAGTCAATCTCATTTTTTGTCGAACCGTCGGGGCTCGACCAGGTCCACTTCCTGTGGGGCCGCTTCTGGAAGAAAGAGTTCATCATAAAGAGTCCCTCTTTCTCCATGAAGTCAGCCAACTGCTGGCCCCTTGGGTTCCGTTGCCCTATTCCAAATTTCCCTACTTTCAGCTCACCGTTCTCTCTTGTGCCTAGTTTTGCATTGAAGTCTCCCATTAACACCGTATATTGGGTTTTGGAGGAATGTATGGCTCTAGAGATATCCTCATACATTTCCTCCACCTCCTGATCGGGGTGTGCCGAGGTTGGTGCGTAAACCTGTATGACCTTCAGCGAATACCGTTTGGTGATTCTGAGTATAAGGTACGCAACCCTCGTCGACACACTCTCAATCTTTACAACGTTGTTAACGAGAGACTTGTGGACGATAAATCCGACACCTCCTTGGGACAGATGGTCGCCCTCCCGGTAATAGAGCAAGTTGCCGGATTCGAGGATTACCGTGTCCTCCCCCTCTCTTCGGACTTCGGATAATCCTATAATATGCCATCGTAACTTGTCTATCTCTTCTTCCAGCTCCACAATCTTCTCGTCAGTCCTCAGGGTGCGTGCGTTGTATGTTGCCAGGTCGAGTCGTCGTAGGTGGCAACCGAACCTCCACCGGAGATTCTTAGCACCCCCTGCCCCGCCGTTACCATGGTCGCCACCGTAGCCAGGAATAGCGGGGCCGCCGGGGACTGGGGGCCGTTTATTATTGTCATTGCTCATGGGAGGTATATTGCCATAGTTGCCACGCTTGGCGAGCGGGTTGGCAACCGCAGTTCAGAATGCACCCTTATAGTTAGTTATAAAACCTTGTCAAGTTATGCACTAAAACACAACATACTTTAGCGATAGATCAATGAATAGTCACTGATCTATCGCTAAAGTTCTCTTTCTCTCTCTTTCTCCTTTTATCTATGGAGATAAAAGTTATAGAGACAAATAATGTTCCCTAACATGTTTCTAGAACAAATCAACAATTAAGTAGTCTTACCTTTGTAACACCAATAGCGCCGACATTCTCTCCGAACGTGTTAGTACCGTTGCCAGAACCCCACAGGCCCGCCAACATGGTGCCCAGACCTTCGGTACCCAGGCCGCGGTTGATCGCGTGCAAGGGTGGGGGAGGCGCCCCTATTATATAAATACTTCATTTTAGACTAGTTATCGATGATGATAGCTAGAAAATTATATTGTTCCTGTGCAATATTATAAATTTAATAGTTCATTTTAGTTACATTTAAACCTTATAACCGGCTCTTACACGAAGCCTTAAGAGGAGATTCGGATACTTTTCTGCCTACAAACGGTCTCGCCTATTTTCTTTCTGGTTTATGACGTTATAGCAATGGATTTTTACAGTAAAATAAATATCAACCTCTTTTATGTCCCTATGTTTTCATTTTTGATGATACATTATCTTTATTATTTATTTATTTATTTATTCACAAATTGCGTTACATATGACTTAAAGACTAAACAGAACATGCAAGTTCTAACAATCACATGCACCTTGAAAGGCAAAATGAACAGGAGAGGGGCAGACACTTAAAATTTCTTTTCCTCAATGTACTCATTCATTGAATAATAACTTTTTTTAATAAGTATATCTTTTAAAGATCTTATGAATTTATTAATATTTGTTTCGGCTTTTATGTATTCCGGCAATTTATTATAAATTTTTCTTGACATCGAGTAAGGACCTGAACTGTGTAATTTTAATTTAGATTTTGGTTGCAAAAGGTTATTCTTATAGCGAGGTACGTTGTGTCGGGGCGCGTCTTTGATTTTGGTGTAAAAGCTTGGGTGTCTTTTTACAAATTTACATATTTCTAATATTAGCACCAGTAACCCTTACAAAATGCCACTGTTGACAGAAGCCTAGCGTTCAAATTTGATAACTAATACTCAAAAAAGATAGGGATTCAGTGTATATCCTTGTTATTCAGTTTATGAAATATCTTTTAAATTGGTCCAATATTGGAGGAAGAAATGGTGTCGAATTATGCCTTTTTACTTAGGCTATTCAGTCAGATCTGCAGTTGTCCTTATCGGACGCCGAGCGCTCGCAGCGACAGCGAGAGTTTATTCAAAAATACCTAATTTCCAAAAGTTTCTCGGCCCGTATTTCCTCTTAATTATGAGAAAAAATATAGAACGAAACAGAATAGTAAAATAATTTATTCAGTATATATCATAAATAATGCATGCTGAAAATCATTTTAAAATCTAACTCGTATTAGGCATTTCATGTAAGTTATTCTGTAACGATAAAGTAAACGTGTCTGTTCATTGCATTCGACATATTTTATCCTGAGATTTCCGCTTCGACAAATTTAATTTTAAAAGTTTTCTTGGTCCATCTGTCCGATTGAATTTAACTTGAATATTTCTAACGTAACCGGGCTGCACACCCGGCGTAAATTTAAAATTCAAAAGATAACATTATCATACGGTAGAGCCAAGCTGTGGCTATACATATGGGCGCACCACAAATAGGTCATCTAGCCCGGGGAAGGAGGACCAAGCTCGATTAGAATCCATCCATCCATTCCATTACAGCCTATAAAAGGCGGGTTGGCAATCACGGTTTCTGGAACGATGTTCCTTATCGGACGGTACGAATTTGGCTAGGCGAGAGAAACGACCCTTTCAATAGTGCGAGCGAGATGGAATAATATCCATCTCTCTCGCTCTTTTTTTATCTTGCCATAACATAAATATTATTTTAAATGACGCTTCATTTTAATAGACGCTAGTAATAGTAATTCAACTATTTGTATTTGTTAATCAATAATATAATACGTTTATCAATAATAATATACTACGAAAGGAACTTCGTTCCAACCGAGTGTTCCACGACACTCGCGCATGTTTTTTATTATTATGTTGAGTTGTTAGGAAGATGCTGCCGCCCATCCCCTGTTTCAGTTTCCCTCTGTCACCTCTTACAACTTCCACGGGACAATATGGGCCACTGTGCGGTAGCTTAGAATACCAACGTGAAATACCAGCATAATGGTATGGTGATTCTTATGGTGACTGACAAGAACCGCAACCATTTTTACTGATTATTTATTTTCTTAATCCTCAGGGTTGCCATAGATCGTTTACGTTACGGTCAATTTTTATTTGTATTTTCAATAAGGTTAATTTTTAAATGTAAGTTTGTAATTGCTATTACAAATGATTGATTTAGGGATTTTTCCTTCATTTATGCCGTTAACGATAAGTACCATATAGGTTTTGATTTCTTTGCGAGTATCAAAATATGTCGCATAAATTCTTGTATAAGCCCTATTTTTTTTATAACTAGAAGGGACCGTGGACCTACGTATTTGCTATTAAATTCAACTTGATATCTCCACGCGTTCCTGAGAAAAAGGGTCATGACAGACAAACGGTTCCGTGTTTTCCTTTTGAGATACGGAACCCTAAAAATAGTTTAGCATGTTTAAGTTGAAACAATGTTATATCTTACCACACATCCTGGCTGTGGTCGGGTAATAGCTGATGGACTCCACAGTACAAGCCAGAACACCGGCCAGCATTCCTAACACGCCGGCAACACTCACTGTCGGTACACCCCATTGCCCTGTACAAGTGTTACGAGGTTACGAAAGAAATATATTTTATAAATAGTCTGGATAGGTACCTTCCTCTTTCTTATTTTTGCCACCAAGCAGCAGTACGAATGCAGTAGTGGTGCTGAAGGGTATAAAGATTAAACGTGGTAGAGCCATGCTCCGGCTATATCATAGTTGTAGCACAAATAGGTCGGCTCAACTGAGGGTGGCTACGTTCTCAAATCGTATGGCTGCTGTGTTTCGTATGGTGAGTGTAGAGTGTATTCCGATGCATTCCATCTTAGTCCTCAGGGATGACAACGCATCTGCACTTTGATTCTTTATCGAGGGTTGACGTATATGCCTATGGGTCACAGCATCCACTTACCATCAGATGGACTGTGTGCTCATCTGTCACACTTAGGCCCGTATTAATAAACGTTACTCAGCTCGAGTACACGCACTTGAGTACAATCTTGAGGTTATGATCTCATTAATAAACATATCTGAAGATGCGGTTTAGGTTTACGATATCAGCTGAGTGCCATACGGATTAATAAACGAAACTCGACTCTCAAGTGTATGTACTTGAGTGCAAGTCACAGAACAGTATTCCTAAGTACAGCGTTATCGATCTGTCGTGCCGATACTGTTTTGATGTGTTTATTAATTAGCAACGATCTTGAAATGCTGATATCGTAATGAGGGGGTATCAAATGATTACGCACTTGAGTTCGTCGTTGAGTAACGTTTATTAATACGGGCCTTATACTGTAAAAAAGAAAATAGAGAGCCAATATAATTCCAGACTGTGAGGCGTTCCATCTTAGTAGTCCCCAGACGTAATAACGCATCCTGTAGTCCTCTTTGTTTGCAGTTAATTGCAGGTGTTCATGGGCTTTAGTGGCCACTTACCATCACGTGAATTGTAAGTTCATATGTCACTTTTAACTTTCTTTCTTCTTTATTAGACCGTAATACTATTAACTAGACATGGGAATCCCCATCACTACCATCGGGAAGATTATTTTATTATTAAACTATTACATAATACTATATACATTATTATATATAGCATAGTAAGATATGTTACATAAAGCCTCGTATCGATTACGCGCTCCAGGCGCGCGCGCCATGAATGACCGCTCCGACCAGTGCGTTCCATGGAACGCGTTCCAAATGTTCGAAGTGTATCAACTAAGCGCGCCTGGCGCGCGCGGCAGTTTCAGTGTTTGACTGTTCAACATGGATGTCGGTCGTGTACATACAGCTGCCGCTTTCATAGTTCCATGCATCTTCTCTGAGCGCTTTATTACGATAAAAACATACACACAGCAGTTATTTAGAACCATATAATTTTATCAATTTTGCCGTAAATTATTGTTATATTATAATTGTATTAATTTACGGCAACGCTGGTTATCCATAGCTCGAAACGCACGTACACACAAATGATGAAAACAACCGTCCTTACTGGCGCGCGCGCCAATACTTAACTACTACGGTAAAAAACCGACACCAGATGAACGGCCCGCTCCAAGGTTGATCGTTCCAATGAACAAATTGGCGCGCGTTCCAAGGCGGTATCCATTTCGCGGGGCTGGAACGCGCGCCAATATTCGACCTTTTGGAGCGCATAATCGATACGCGGTTTAACAGTCATCCTTATAATTAAGGGTATACAGTAAATTAATATCTAATTCAATCCCTGCGTATTAGAACTAATCTACTCTAGAACGCGCCTTTAGGGCAATTAAAGCAAGTGATGCGGTCTCAAATGACTCACTCTTGAATAAGCAGATTTGATTGCTTAAGTTACCCCGTTTTACCCGGTTATATATAAGGCAATCAAGATTAGTCTGACTATTAAAGCGACAATATGTAGCATTAGTCGTTCATTTAGTACGTTATGAGGTGTCAAAACATGGAATCGGTCAAAAGGGGAAACCTCCCATCGGGTGAGGTGTTTAGCCCGGGGAGTGAGAGGCCAACACTACGTTGTAGTACGGAGCTTGTTTTACATATTGCTATGTCGATCGGAATTTAGAGGCCTCGGTTTTAATCCGATCCGTTCAGAGGATTGTGAAGTTTTAAATTTTCATGTAAAAAGTTTTTTCTCCTGTAAACATAATCTAATTTTCATAATTTTTTTTTATTAAACTAAACTGAATTATTGAAAAAGAAAAACCTAAATTATTAAAACCTAGATTAAGGTGTATTGAATCTAATGAGACCAAAATTTTCTCATCTTGTAAATTTTTAAGGGGGGTGACACGTTATCGCCCGAAACAATATTTCATAATGGAAATGTAGCAATTGCTGTCGTACTATATGGCGACATACTGAGCGAGCGGTATGAAACAGATAGCATTTTTGAAAATATATAGTCGCGTGACGACAAATTCGTTTATTCGTTTTTTTTTTTATTCAATACAAATAATTGTTATTTTAATTTTATTTATTTATTATTAATATTTATGTGATAGTTTATATGTGTATATGTTTAGATATTTGTTTGCATTTTACATACTGAATACTGTTACGTTTATTTTTTGTTAAATATTCATTAGTACCGCGGAAGATCAGCTTCGAAGAGCTTTGTCATTAACAAGACTATGCTTAGTTGGGTATATTTTTATTAACAATTTACCAAATTTAAAATATACCATTACTGTTTGTTGTAAGCAAATTGCAGTAATGTGTTACTCAATGAAATTATTTTCTTTGTTTCTTTCTTCTTATTTTTATATCAAGTAAATCTGTTATTTAATTAATATTAAAAATAAAGCAATTCTGCCTTATTTCTTCCTTTTATATAGGCTTATTTTACAATAACCGGCCAAATTTGCAGAATAGGTTCAGAATAAGTGATATAGGCGAATGGCGAAGAAAATTAAACTAAAAAAAATCTCAAACATTCTGTCTTTTTTATCTTTTAAATTCAAATGTATGGTAATGCATTATTTTAACTGATTGTCATTCATAAATATCTAACGGCTACTATTTTACTACTCGCGCACACATTCATAAGGGTCGATCAGTTGGCAAAAACGTTGCGAATTTAATCGCACACAGAGGAGCGCGCTTACGCGTAGTTGTTGGCCATAAATCACATTCAATTGGGGATAATTTCAAATAAACGTAGAAGCCTTATTTACTCGTATTTTCAAGAACTGCAATAACGGTATATCATTATTTATATATTTTAACTTAAGTTAAGGCTACTCTTTCAAAAATAAATCTGTATTCATTAGCAGACCGGGGTGATGAAATAGATGATATTTCACTTCCGTGGCTCGGAAAGCACGTAAATCTGTTGCTCCTGCACCTGATCCCTTTGCGGTCGTGTTGGGTTGCCATCCAATCCGACTATAAGTGGCATAGAGAATACACCTGTGAACACACACCACGATCATACTCGTGCACTATAATCCTGTCCTGTGATGGCTAACCTCTATTGACTGGCCACCCTGACTGGGATTCAGTCAGGAGGAAACCAATTTAGAAATAAACTCACTTCACAAAATTTAAATAATGAACAAGTAAATAAATATATTAGAAGTAGGTATATACCCATGTAGAATAAGAATGCATTTTTTTCGTCGTATGATTGTAGTGTAATCGATTTTTATGAATAAATAGTATAAACAGAAGGATATCGAATCTCAAGGTTTCAATACCTACTTAATATCGAGATCGTATCCACGTGAAACTATATATAAATTAAATATTAACCTGGATATGGCACTCTGAACCAGGGTGCGTCCTCTATTATGTTGACCTTTAGGTCGGTGCGCGCGGGGTGTCCCGCAGTAAACACGTCTGTTACCGTCAGTATACCACACACCGTCCACATTATCGCTATCGTGAGAAGAACCTGAAACAAGTTGCTAAGTAAATACAAATGGAAACGCCAATAGTAAACAAGATGGTTACACCGCCATTGGAAGACACAAGATTTTTTGGCACTTCCCATAGTTCCTTCTTACGGCACCCATGCGAGGAAATGGGAGCCTATGCAAGGAAATAGTGTGATGAATTATGCTACGCCGCAAGCACACGACGAAAATATATTGTGAAATATATAACACGACGTACAATTTATATAAATATTATTTTATATTAATTTTCGTGGCTCTACCACGTGAAAATGCAACTATGCAACTATTTATTACTTAAAAATCACTTTTACTACAAATCAATACCATCTCTTACAACGTTAAGAGAAAAGAAAGAAAAAAGAACTATTTATTTCATACACACATTTTACACACAATTCAAGAAATATTCAAATGCAAGGGGCAAAAATATGCATGCACACGTCTAAGACTGCTTACGCATTACAATTCTTAATAAACGGTACATACACATCGTTAATTAATACTGAAACAAAAAAAAAACAAATATTAAATTAATAATTTAAAATTATACATTTTGTACAACTGATTTTAATATAAATTATTAAGGTTAACTAAAAAATGGTTGGTCAAACCTTGATCATAGACCTTGATCAATATATGCGACCACGTGTGAAGCACCAGCTTTCGAATAAAAAAAGAATCGTCGAAATCGGTTCACCCAGTAAAAAGTTATGAAGTAACACACAAAAAAAAACTATACAGTCCTACTGTTTCCTTTTTTGAGTCGGTAGAAAAGGAATTTAAAATTAAAATGTGTCATCAAACAGGTATCCAACTCAGTATAATGCTGCAAAGGCAGCGATGGTTTTCAGTTGGAGTTTTGTGACTTCACTGACAAGTCGGTGTGTGAACCTCAAATTGTTCAACAAAATACGAATACGCGTAACTACGAATTACACACTTATTAATAATTACTAGCTAGAGAGTAGTGTTAACGAACACAGCTAATACACACATACTGAGTAAATGTTATATAGTAGTTGTATAAATGGTGTATAATATATATTTATATAATACCTACACATATACTGACACATAAAATATTTGGCTCTATGGGGAAGACATTTTTACTATTTTTCATAAAACCTAAAACGCAAAAAACAAAGTAGCAATAGAATTTATGATTTTAGTACAGCGATAATTTATATTCTGTACTCAAAGATACACCTCATGTTACGAGACCTTCTAGATTTTTTTTGAAAAATAAATAAGCTTAAAAGTAATTAACAATATATTAGGTCCTTACATATGAAATTAGCGTTTTGTCGTACTGACCACTTTGATCTGAAACATCTCCTCTTTGGTTAAGAATTCCAAATTCAAATTTATAAATTCATTTAGCTAATACATTTAATTTTTGGAAACAGTCATTCATTTGTTTTTTCCTCATTATTTTTATCTTTGGCGCCGCTTATTACCGCACAATAGAAAACATGAAATATCGGTATATTTACGAGTACGAGTTATACCGTGGCACCAGTGCTGCAGAAACAGCTCGAAGGATTAATGATGTGTACGGCGCTGGTGTCAAAAGAAAGCACGGTAAGTATTTGGTTTCAACGTTTTCGTTCTGGAAATTTGGACCTTCATAACCAACCCCGTGGACGGCCGGAGACCAAAGCGGAAAATGAAGAATTAAAGGCTATTGTGGAAGCGGATCCATCACAAAGCACTTCAGAGATAGCTGCAGGCTTCGGGGTAAGTGATAAAACTGTATTAATCCACTTGAAGCAAATCGGGAAAGTAAAAAAAAATTAACGATGGGTGCCTCATGAATTGAGTGAATCGAACTTGCAAACACGGGTCGACTGCTGTGTTATTTTGCTCAACCGACACAATAATGAAGGGATTTTAAATCGAATCATTACTTGTGATGAAAATTGGATACTGTACGATAATCGGAAGCGCTCGTCGCAATGGCTGAACTCTGGAGACCCAGCCAAATCCTGCCCTAAACGAAAATTGACTCAGAAAAATTTACTTGTGAGTGTTTGGAGCGCCGGTATCGTTCACTACAGCTTTCTAAAATCTGGCCAAACGGTTACGGCAGAAATCTATTGTCAGCAACTGCAAACCATGAAGGAAGAATTAGCTGCTAAACAACCGAGATTGGTTAATCGCTCTAGGCCACTGTTGCTTCACGACAACGCAAGACACACACTGCACAACAAACAACCACTAAGTTAGATGAGCTACAATTGGAATGTCTACGACATCCACCGTACTCCCCGGACCTTGCTCCAACAGATTATATATAACCACTAAGTTAGATGAGCTACAATTGGAATGTCTGCGACATCCACCGTACTCCCCGGACCTTGCTCCAACAGATTATATATAACCACTAAGTTAGATGAGCTACAATTGGAATGTCTGCGACATCCACCGTACTCCCCGGACCTTGCTCCAACAGATTATATATAACCACTAAGTTAGATGAGCTACAATTGGAATGTCTGCGACATCCACCGTGCTCCCCGGACCTTGCTCCAACAGATTATATATAACCACTAAGTTAGATGAGCTACAATTGGAATGTCTGCGACATCCACCGTACTCCCCGGACCTTGCTCCAACAGATTATATATAACCACTAATTTAGATGAGCTACAATTGGAATGTCTGCGACATCCACCGTACTCCCCGGACCTTGCTCCAACAGATTATATATAACCACTAAGTTAGATGAGCTACAATTGGAATGTCTACGACATCCACCGTACTCCCCGGACCTTGCTCCAACAGATTATATATAACCACTAAGTTAGATGAGCTACAATTGGAATGTCTGCGACATCCACCGTACTCCCCGGACCTTGCTCCAACAGATTATATATAACCACTAAGTTAGATGAGCTACAATTGGAATGTCTGCGACATCCACCGTACTCCCCGGACCTTGCTCCAACAGATTATCATATTTTCTGGAATTCGGTCAACTTCTTACAAGGAAAAAAATTCAACTCCAATGCGGCAGTCCAAACCGCCTTCAAAGAGGTTATTGATTCTCGTCCCCATGGTTTTTTTTTTTTAGTAAAGGGATCAATTAACTACCTATGAGATGGCAAAAGTGCAAAGATAACAACGGTGCATACTTTGATTTATTAAATATATTTTACAGAAAAAAAATTGACTTTATATTCCTCCCGTACAAAACGCCAATTTCATATTATGTAAGGACTTAATATAATCATTCATGAAACAGAAAGAAACACCTTAATAATCAATAATATTTGAGCATAGTAGATAAAAAGTAAATAAAAATAGTGTAAGACAATATAAATATTATTATCACATTGCGTTCGAAACATAATTGTATTACATATTTTGAACTTGTTGTACAAAATAATGCAAATTTAATTTGTTTTTAAAACTATTTAATGTTTTTAAGGAACGAATAGGTGGTAAATCAAAAACAGTGGGTTGCTGCAAATTTGAAACTGCTTCGAAATGCAGCAGTGCGGTGTCGAGTTGTTAGAAGCGCATGAACGGAAGCTCTTGTGTTATATTTATTTTGGTCTCGGGCCCACTTCAACTTTTGGAACAGATATATCGGTCTCTGCTTTGTTATTGTCGAGAATAATAGAGTAGCACGGTGTAATTTTCTACCGGCAGTCATTTTAAGTAGATTGGCGTCATTTAAATAAGGTGTTACATGGCTTCGAGGCGCAACAGTAAAACAAAACCGAGTACACGCATTTTGCACCCGCTGTATGAGCTTTTCTATCCTTCTCAACAGTCGACGTCCATAGGCTGTATCTGCATTGTTTAATTTGGACAATATTAATAACTCACACAATCTTATCCACATATATAGTGTAGATATACTGAGGTACTGCCGAACTTTGTAAAGTAACTTCGAACGGTAGAAGCAACTGCGCACTCCCTCCAGTACATGACTTTTAAAGTGCAAATTAGAATCAGATATTACACCTAAATTTCTAACCTCTGAGACTTGCTGTATATGTTATGGTTGTAGTACGAATGGGTCGGCTCAACCGGGGTACGGCCACGCCCTCACAGAATACCAGCGTAAAATAGCAGCTTAACGCTGCTGTATTTCGTATGGTGAGTGTAGAGAACCGGAGACCCTTTTTGCATTAAAAAGGGGGAGACCCTTTTTCCAGTAAAAAGTGTCTCCGGTTCGAGAGAAAAGAACGAGAAATTTCATCTTGGTCCTCAGGGGTGACAACGCATTTGTATTTTGATTCTTAATCGAGAATAAACGTAGATATTTATGGATCACTGCATCCACTTACTGTGAGGTGGACTGTGCTCGTTTTTCACCCTTATTCAATAAAAAAATACGTTCGTTATCAATTAAAACTACGAGCTGAAACATTGATACATTTTCAATATTTTTATTCGTTCCTAGTATTAAAAATTGAGATTTTTGTGGAAGAGAATTTTGCTTGGAGCATAACAAAATACTTTTGAGATCTTCATTCAATGATTTGACAGCAGATTCACAATCTCGAGGGAAAAAAGATTTATATATTTGCAAGTCGTCTGCATATAGGTGATACCCACATTCTTTTATACAGTTAAAAGGCTTAAGCGCTTGTCATAAATATCACAGTGCGCGAATAACCCGGATCGCCCTCGCCGACCCCTATGAAATGTGAAACTTTTGGTAAATCTTGATTTACACCTGCATGTCAAAGAAATGATTATATTTCGAGATCAAGGCCATAGTGGCAGAAGAGAAAGTTTTGAGAAGGAAAAATTCCTCGTAGAAATATAAATAATAATAATTTATTAGACTCTCAGTTTAACAAATTACGATTATGTATTATATCTATTTTAAATTACAAAATAAAATTTCAAAGAACTTAGCATTGACGCATAGATTAATGATATGTCATCGCGCGTCAGAGCGCGCGATGACTTATCATTAATCTATGGCATTGACGGTTATACCAGTATAAACTGTGTTACAGCCGTCAGCGTCTTCAACCTTGAGTAGTACAAAAATCATTTCATTTCAAATGAGAGAAAGTTTGAGCCCAGACACTTGAGTAAGACGTAAATAGATCGTAACTTTTATTACAATATTTACAGAAATAAACAGCTAAAAACTAAAAGTACTACCTGCCACAATACCCGCAATATAGTACCCCAAGAACGCTTGTTGCGTATTCTCGCTGAATGGCTTATAGCCTTTTAGGAGAAATATAAACCAAACCTCTTTTTCATGATTTATATCTAACATGAATTTATGAATATGATATAAAAGAATTATATGACGTCTCCATGTCGCGCCAAAAAGTCTTATACACTGCAGTGACATGGAATAAACGTTATTCTAAAGACAAAATTAGGTTTGTTTTTTTTTTACTATTTAAATAAGTGGCCAGCATAGATTTTTAACCATGGCCTTTCGTACCGAATCTGTATTCCGCGAGGATTAAGGCATTTATGAACCATTGAAGCATCCACAGATGGATAGTGTTATTGTTTTATCCTTTTATAAAAAAAAAATAAAAACAGCTGCAAACGCCCTCGTTGGTCTAGTGGTCGTAAATGGGATTGCTGATCGTTGGGCCAATATCACTTATTGGGTTTTTCTGTGAAGAAATTCCCAGTAACAAACCCGAAATTGGCAGTGTTTCACCTCCGTGCCCCGGAAACCACGTAAAGCCGTTGGTTATGCGCCTGATCTCTCTCCGGTCGTGTGGAATTACCTTCCTATAGGACTATGAGAATGAGGGAATAGATAACACCTGTGCTTGCGGATACACTTGGGCACTACAATCCTATCCTGCGCAGATGGCTAGCCTCCGATGAGAAGAGAGTCCCGTAAGACACTATTATTATTTATTAAAAACACCTGCAAGCAATGATCTAGGAGAATTATTCGCAATAACAAACTCACCGGAAACAATTTGAATAGCGGAAACCAGGATACGCCGCAACCGGAACCCTTTTTGTACGCTATGGTCGGTATTTTGATTTCTCCCATACACTGAGAGAATATTGTTAATAATGTAAAAGTCCTGAAACAAACAACTATAACGATGAATAAAAAAATATTAATCAACATTCTTGCAAAATAATGCTGCGGTCAACATATTTTTTTTATAGGATAGGGTGACAAACGAGCAACAGTCCACCTGATGATAAGTGGTTGCTGTGGCCCATAGACATCTAACTATGACTAAGATGGAATGCCTCTTTTCCAGTAAAATGGGTCTCCGGTTCTCTACACTCACCATACAAAACACAGCAGTGTTAAGCTGCTATTTTACGCTGGTATTCTGTGAGACCGTGGTCCTTCCCCAGTCGAGCCGACCCATTCGTGCTACAACTATACTACTAATATAGCTGCAGCATGGCTCTACCACGTACAACATATTATAAAACAGTAGAAATTTTCTACCAGGATTCCGTCTTGGTAGCTGATAGCTGGTAGTCCTGTGTTACAAAGAAAAAAAGAAAGCCAGTATAGTGGCAGATGTATGATATTTCATGTGGTGGTGAAAATACATGTAGCGTTCTTTGTTAGCTGCAGGTGTCGATTGTTGCAATAGCCAATGGGGCCATGACATTTTTGCCAGCAGAGTGGCGCCACTTACGAATGTGGTTTTTTTTATATAGGAGAGGGGTTAAACGAGCATGCGGCTCACCTGATGGTAAGTGACTACCGCCGCCCATGAACAACTGCAACACCAGGGGTATTGCAGATGCGTTGCCGGCCTTTTCAAAAGGAGTAGGCTCTTTTCTTGAAGGTCCCTAAGTCGTATCGGTCCGGAAAAATCGCTGATGGTAATCGATTCCACAAGGAAGTTGTGCGTGGAAGAAAACATCTTCTAAATCGCACAGTGGTGGACAGCCAATCATCCAGATAGTATGGATGGTATCGCGAGTTCTGTCGCGAAATTGAGCGGCTGGAATTAATATTTGACAGAGTACATTGTGGGGAAGTTAATTTGTTAAATAAAATGTAAGATTTATTGTTTACTTTTGTAATATTACTTATATTTTATAATAGTTATATTCGAAATGGATAAACAAAACTACGGATATTTCATAAATTGGAAAAGAGTTAAAAATGTGATAAATATTAAGGAGCAAACCACACAGGTACTGTTTTGTGTGTGTGTGTATAAATATAATACTCTAGAAACCGATTAACTTATTTAAAATGCAATTTCTCAATTACATGACAATCGTATAACAAAAAACTTAATTATAAGCTCTCATTACCATCAGGTGAACTGCAAGTTTGTTTGTCAATTCAAATTTATAAAAAAATATGACCATTTTTCTTTTGACATTTTTGTAGATATAAAAAAAATTAAATCTGTGATGAATTTGAATTTGAATTTTGAAAGCTAACAAAGAGGTACACAAACATTTTTTAAAATACTGATCGAACGCGTCGGAAATTTCATTACTCGTTTTCACAAAAGCGTATTCACCGATAAAGTACGATATAGCTATAGTGTAGAGTGTAGTCTAGAGAGTCTGTCTATTGACGGGCCTTTGCGCCGGCCATTGTTTGCATACACAATGCGAAAAGCTCTCATAATCATGGAATTTGCAATACTTCGACAAGTAGAAGCGCTACAAGTAAAATACGATCGCGTGTGACTCTTCAGCGTGCATGCTATTGCATGCCTTAAGCGAAAGCGCAAGGTATGTCCTACTATCGCCTAAAAATTAAGATTCCAACGTTTTATCGAATAAAATCGTATCTAGAAATCCTATTATACATACATATAAATGATATAAAAAGCACATTGTTAGAAAGATAAATGATTGTTGAACTTATTAATATTTTTTTAAATCGATTAATTGCTATTATTAAATAAAAAAAGGGGTTTTAGTGGCTTATGGTGTGGATTTATCATATCCCCAAGGCTTGTAAATACAATAACTTTTGAAAATATCAATAGTTTAACTCAATCTATTTTTTAATCTCTTCATCTATCATGTAGGAAGCCACTGAATGTAAATGGCAGTGTAATTTTGTTTTGTTTAGCTATAATTAATTTTTTTCGGCTCCAAAATGGCGTTATTTTCGTTGATTTGGTAACTTTGTATGTAAATTATTTCTGTAAATGGGCAGCTGCAGCCACAAAGTAGTTTACTCACACTCAGTTCGGCGTCAATCGCCGTCGTGAGTGGATATTGTTTCGGTTGTTTGCAGCGTTTAAAAAAGATCGCTGTACAAATACACAATATTTGAATAACTTAAATACTTGATTATAATAATAATAAGAGATTTTTATTATTACAATATTTTAAAAGCACAGAATAAATAATAGTAGTACGTACTAAAAGTAAGTAGTATCATTTTTTCATCTTGGGTGTCATTTTCATGGTTTTCGAGGGTGTTGAAACCGATAGGGTTGTCGAAATGTAAATCCAAGATGGCGGCCGCAATAGGTTTCAATTTTTTTCATCATGGGTGTCATTTTCATGGTTTTCGAGGCTACTGAAGCCGATAGTGCTCTCGAAATGTAAATCCAAGGTGGCGGCTGCAATAGATATAATTTTTTTATCGTGGGTGTCATTTTCATGGTTTTCGAAAGTGTTGAAGCCGATAGTGCTGTCGAAATGTAAATCCAAGATGGCGGCTGCAATAGGTATCAATTTTTTCATCATCGGTGTCATTTTCATGGTTTTCGAGAGAGTTGAAGCCGATAGGGTTGTCGAAATGTAAATCCACGATGGCGGCTGCAATAGGTTTCAATTTTTTCATCATGGGTGTCATTTTCATGGTTCTCGAAAGTGTTGATGCCGATAGTGCTGTCGAAATGTAAATCCAAGATGGCGAAGAAGAAGATCAATTTTTTCATCATGGGTGTCATTTTCATGGTTTTCGAGAGAGTTGAAGCCGATAGGGTTGACGAAATGTAAATCCAAGATGGGGGTTGCAATACATATCAATTTTTTCATCATGGGTGTCATTTTCATGGTTTTCGAGGGTGCTGAAGCAGATAGTTTTCTCGAAATGTAAAACCAAGTTGGCGGCTGAAGTAGGTACCAATTTTTTTATCATGGGTGATATTTTCATGATTTTCGAGGGTGTTGAAGCCGATAGTGCTGTCGAAATGTAAATCCAAGATGGCGGCTGCAATGGGTATCAATTTTGTCATCATGGGTGTCATTTTCATGTTTTCGAGGGTGTTGAAGCCGATAGTACCGTCGAAATGTAAATCCAAGATGACGACTGCAATAGGTATAAATTTTTTCATCATGGGTGTCATTTTCATGGGTTTCGAGGGTGCTGACTTCCAAAAATTCTTTGTACAGGTTGATTTGGTTTAAGATATTCTAACTTTGACTATGATTTAGATAAATAAACAGAATCAAATAGAAATGCTTTGAAATTATTTATGCTTGCGGGAAAACCGGAACACGTTTCTTCTACAACTTGTAATAGACCTTTCAATAACGATCGGTACAGACAATGTTTAGCATATACCTTTTCTACAACATTGTCAAGACATAAACAGTTTTACGATATTGAGCACAAAGCATGTGGAAAATGTTGCCTGCTAGCCCCTACGACACGACTCGGAAATAATTGTCGCTGTGTTTAAGAATAGGCGTCTGTGATAAACTTATTTTAAAGTCGGAGCGTGTAGATTACAAGATTTAAACATTTATCTCAAGGCAGTACAGCCCGTTATTTATTGGAGCCTGATTCATATTTAGGATTTATTAGTGGCGTTGAACTTAAATGCCGCAACCACAAAAATAAAACTATTAATAAATATATTAACACGCTTCAATTAACTTCGCCTGTATCTATATATTTATGTAACGGAATATTTTAATGTAATTTTCACAAATTGTAGACGGCCGATTAACTTGAAAATTTGCCCTCGTATCAAGCACCAATGACCACACAATAATTTAATAGCTTTATCCTAGTATCCTAAACAAGATCACCAGGATAATTCTCTCTAGAATCATCACGGCTCATGCTCAATGCATGTATTTTAAGTTTTCTTACATTTTAATATTATTTTCAAACGCTTTTATTAGCGTCGTGTGTGATCTATCTATGTCGCGGAATAACTTTTAATTCAATTTTCACCAACTTGTAGATGGCCGTTTAACTTGAAAATTTGCAGGACCGATGACTATACAATAATTTATTTACTTTAACCTAGTATCAGGAGATCAGGATCACCAGGATAAAATAATTGTATTTTTAGCGTGGTTCTCTAGTATTTTTAAACTATAATTTATTATTATTATGCGCAATTGTTGCGAATTATACGTGGTAGAGCCATACTGCAGCTATATTAGTAGTATAGTTGTAGCACGAATGGGTCGGCTCGACTGGGGAAGGACCACGCTCTCACAGAATACCAGCGTTAATAGCAGCTTAACGCTGCTGTGTTTCGTATGGTGAGTGTAGAGAACCGGAGACCCTCTTTACTGGAAATGAGGCATTCCATGTTAGTCCTCACGGGTGACAACGCATCTGCCTTTTGATTTGTAATAGAGGATAGATATAGATGTCTATAGGCCGCAGCAACCACTTACCATCATGTGGACTCTGTGTTCGTTTGTCACCGTTATCCTAAAAATAAAAGATTATTTATCTCAAGCGGGAGCTTCTGTATAATGGCGGATATTAACAGTGGCGTTTGTTTATTTAATATGGACGCTACAGCTTTGTTTGAATGTTACAGATGCGAAACTGACTCTGCTGTACAATGAACCTTCCCCGCAACGGTACGTGAATTAACGATCGGAATACCAGAGGTCTTACAGATTTTAACTCTGACCCAAAGTTGTATTTTTCGACACTCAAGGGAAATAAAATATTTTAAATTAATTTAGTTTAAAAAAATATGTTTGCCTTGTCCAAGCAATATCTTTAGATAAAGTAATTGTAATAAGTATAAATTATAAAAATGTAAACACTAATCCAATGTATAAACTAATTTCCCGTCAAAACACTGACTTTTTTCCACATCACCTAATTTGTTTCTCGCC